ATTGAAATGATGAATGAATAGTGAGTGAGCCCATGGGAGAGCAAGGGAGGAAATAAATGCAACATCAATTGTCATCTTCAGCAAACTCAGAGTCTGAGAGTGCCTGTGGGGAGCACAGACAGCACGGGGGCTGGAGTGGATTCTGCGCTCCCGTCCCAAGGCCTGCCGGCTGCCTTGGCTGGGCACCTTCCTGGCTCCTGTCCCCTGCACCCCACTCACCAGCATAGCCTAATCGGGCGGTCAGCATCCGAAAAGAGCTGTTCCTTGGAAACCTCACAGCCTGTGATTAGATCTATGGGCAGTTCCCTAAGCTGCTTCAGTGGTTCCATGCGAACCGACTGGAGCGGCCACTGGAGGCAGGAGGGGGAGACAGGTGTCGGGGCTGCTGGCCCGGGGCCAGGGGCTGGGGAAGTGATGCAGCAGAGCTAGAGGGATGGGGAGAACCCCAGATGGCCCTGGGGGAGGGGAAGAGGCGGAACATGGGGACATGGGACCAGGGCGTGAGAGCGGGCAGGAGCCGCAGGCTAGGAGAGGATGGGGAGTGGAAAGGGGCTGGGATTTGGAATGAGAGGAAGGGGGAACTTGAAAACGGGGACGGTGGGGGAGCTGGGCGTGCGAGGAAGGGGGGGCCGTGGGCAGCTAAGGCAAGAGCGTTGGCAAGGGTGAAGGACAGAGGACAGAAAGCAGAGAGGCCTGTCGGCGCTGGACAAAGGAAGCCAGCGAGCCAGAGGCTCCAAAGCTGTTGAACTAAATGCAGAAAATGGCCCCTGCCCTGCCCCCACACGACACACGCCTGAGTAAGCGAAAACAGCTGGACACAGTCACCGGGCCCACAAGGGCTAACCTCTGACCTGAGCGGGCCAGGTTGGGCTGGGGCCTTGGCAATCACCAGCGACAGAGCCCAGCTGGCACCCGCAGGAGGAGGGTCTGGCAGAGAACTTCTGCCTGGCATCGAAAGGCCAAGCAGGCCTCACCAAAGGGCCCCACACGGCCGAACCGCCCGGTCATGATGAGGCTGGAAGCACGTGGAACTTGTCGGCCGGGTGGAGGCAGCTCTGCCACCCCCCACCCCCGGGCAGACAGGTTGATGCCCGCAAAGAAACGCAATGGCACCTTCAGTGGGCAGGTCAGCCTGCCAGTGCCCACCAGAGAGAACAGCAGCCCGAGGCTGGGAGATGAGGTCTGGGGGTCGCCCTTGTCAGCGGCAAGACAATGACGAGGAGGGGACAGACTTGGGTCAGGAATTCGAGCATTGCCTCACCTCACAGGGGGCTGGCCCTTGGGCTCTCTGTTGCTCCTGTGAATGCTTCTAAGTCCAATTAGCGTACGTTTTGGTAGGATCATTCATCGCTTGCAAATGACGGAGCCCACTCAAGTGTTAAGCCAACTAATGCTGCTTTGACACTGACAAGCCCAGTGGTTTCAGGCAAGGCTCCAGGGAGCTCCATAAAACGTCCCAGGGACCCTGTCACCCTGACTTCCTTCTTTCTGGCTGTGCTTCCCGGCAGCTCTGCCGAGTGGCATGTGGTCACCAGCAGCGGCCAGGCTTACAACCCTGTCCCAGGCGAAAGAGTGCATCTTTTTGCCTAATTGCCAGGAACGCTCCCAGGACTGACGTTCGCTGGGCAGCGATCGCGTCCTGTTTCCCTCCCCTGGCAGCTCACAGGTGACAGGTGGAGCCGCCCCAACTAGTCAGCGTGCCAGACACTGCTCTGGCGTACTTTAGGTTGAGTTGAACTCAATCCTCTAAAAGGTCAAACTTATTTCCATTTCACGGATGAGGGAACCAAGGCACGAAATCTGACATAGCTTGCCATGAGCTACGAAGTGCAGGGCTGGAATCCAATGGACAGCCGAGCGTTGCGGCTTCGGCGATCCGGTCTTAGCGGCATGGGGTCATGTGCCGGGTGTGGAAAGCACACTCCTGGGCCCCATTGGCGGCGAGTTCTGATCTGGAACCTGGGGGTGGACCCAGGAACCTGCTGTGACCTACAGGCATGCTTTGAGTGTCACTGAACTACCTCAGTGCTTCTCATGAGTGCTTCGTTCAGCCAATCATAGCGACTCGATTTGCCACACCGGGGCCATGGCCAATCCAGCGTGGGGAACAATACCTAAGCCACATTGACTTGAAACAAGGGCAGACTGGACATAAAGAAAAGCAGGTTTCGTTTCCAGCAATGAAGGGCACCTCGGGCGACTCGGCTACCCTCACTGCACTTCACTTCCTTCCTCTGTGATTCCGAGGATACTGATGGTACCTGCCTCACAGGATTGTTGCAAGGATGAAATTAGCTGACACTATAAAGCATTGCAATTACCTGGAGATTAGTAAGGACCCAACAAGCATTTAATACACACGCACTTGTACAACACACACACAGGCTAATACTGCTGAAAAACAAAAGCAACCCCAGTCACTCACTTGAAACACGGCATGTGAGGATGCACAAATGCAGAACACCACAACACAACTACTGAACCACCAGGCATGTGCAAATGTCAACACACATAAGACACATCTGTGGAACATACAAGATGGCTACATGCTCAAAGGGGCTTTTGCACACACGGGCAGCTTCTGGAGTTTTTGTGTCCCGGCTCCTCTTGAGTCACGGATGCTGTCTGGCGTCCCCCGAAACCAGCTGTCTCCCTGGGTCTCAGGGGCGAGGCGGATCTGCGAGGCAGCGGCCACAAGCGTGGCTCGAGCAATTTGGGAGACAATCTAGTGAAGAGCAGATGTTAATCATAGTTTAGGTTTGGGGATCGTTTCCACCAATTACTTAGGCTGGGCGACCTTGAGTGAGTTGCATAACTTTTCTGAGCCTGTGTCCAACCTGCATAAAAGGGGGTGCAAAGTTACCTACCCTTGGGTTTTGTGATGATTAAGGGAGGGTAAAGCAATCAGTGCAGCGTTCTGGGCTACAGGAGAAGTGCCGATGAGGGTTAGGCATGATTTTGTTCTAGCATGATCATCATCTCTTCTTTCTGGGAGTGGCCTCAGATGTGGGAGAAGCAGTGCACATTAGCGACAAGATGGCGAACTGGGTCAACCCTCAAAGGCACCACAGAACCAAGTTCTCCCGCCTGGCACCGAAGCGGCGGAGAAGCAATGGCGCTGAGTGACTGCCCATCTGTTACAGAGGCGCAGCGAGGCCCAGCAGCCCGGAAGCTGTTGGAAGCTTTTCTGCAAGCACTACAGCGGCCTCCTGCAGCTCAACTAGCGGAGGTGGATGTTTATTAAAATTAAGCCATATGTAATTTTGTTATTCGTGATTAATGGTGCAACGATATGAGATCCATAGGTGGGTGTGGGAGATATGATTTGCAAGACGAACGGGCCTTCTCAGTGTGGCAGGCAACAGGGGCCCGTGCTGAAGGGGTAGGCCTGCACTGTGAAAGTCACCAATGAATGACAGGACCTCACTCTTGAGGACAAGGAGGGGTTTCACGGCCAAGGCAGCATGCAGGACAAGCTCCCAAAGCCCCCTATAGCTGGCGCTCCAGCTCGCGCAGACCCGTCCTGCCACCCCCTTCCACCCTTAGCCAAGTGGTTAAGAACTCAGGCTTCGGAGCCAAACAGACCAGCACCCAAAGCCTGGCTCTCCTGAGTCACTTCAGCTCCCAGTTCCTCAATCCCTCCTCTGTAAAACAGAGCAAATTAAGCATGCACTGCATACGCCCTGGCATACAGCAAATGCTCAATAAACGGTAGTTCAGATTCCCCTCCAATCTTGGCTCCTCATTAGCTACTGCCCTCTCTTCACCCCCTTTTCCCAGAAACAACCACTGGGTCTTGGCCTCAAGACACCTTCACCCATTGGCTCCTACAAGCGTCACTTGGCACAGACTCTCAGGAAACCACAGCAGCAGCATATGAACAATGAGATGTATGACTCACTTTTGTGTCTTTTAAACGCATTGAGCACTAAACTGAGATCCATGATGATGGTGCATTTGTCTTAGCTACTTTTGCACCCTCGGCTCCTAGAACAATGCCTGGCGCATAGTAGGTACTCAGTAAATATCTGCTGGCTAATGGATATATTTGCCCACTCCCTCCATTCTATAAATGTTGCTGAGCATCTACTATGTTTCAGATACTGTGAGCGCAGAGAGAAATCAAGCATGGCCTGGGTGGGTGGGGGTGGTTCAGCGGGAAGGACAGGGTGAAAAGCAGGGCTCCTCTACAAGGCCTGACCCCTCATAGCCCCAGCCTTGGCTTTGACCTTGAAGAGCTACTTGGAATCTCGACTCCAAGGCAGGAGCACTTTAAAGTCACTGTCTCCACATTATGTATTCATCTGAAAAGTATTTGTTATCCGGCCCTGAACTCAACAATGATGCCAGAGAGCCTGCCCAGGTACTCTCCCCTTCAAGAACTTTCGATTTTTGAGAACAGCCCATCCAGATCATTCCACCTGCTGCCCTGCACCCTCAAATTAGTATAAACTGGGTTAATAAGTACATAATCTAGGTGTTTTGCTCATGGGAGTAGCTGTGTCCCATCTGGTCCCCAGTTCTCTCTAAAACTGGCATGACGGAGTGACAGGTCCCTTCCTGAAGTTCCTAGGCCCCACTTACTCCAGGATCTACAGATTATGCCTGCTTGAGTTCTAGCTAGCTTTCAGCATGCACTTGAGCTGTTCATATAAATTAACCTCTTCTGCTTGGTGGCTGTCACAAAAGATAGCTTTCAGTCTAACATCCTGAGCCTGGCATTCAATGGCCATGTACAATCTGGCCCCCACCCCGCATGGCTGGGTGGCTGGGTGGATGGATTGGAAGAGTGGATATGTGAGTGGATAGGTAGATGGATAGATGGATGAATGAGTTGTTGACTGTATCTTTGCCTCTCCCTTCAGTGGGCCCACCTCTCCGGGCATGAAAACCTTCACAATCTGGCCCCAATCTGGATGGATGGACAGAGGGGTGGATGGATGAATGGCTATGTGGGTGGGTGAATGGGTGTGTGAGCGGAAGGCTAGATGGGTCAATGGGTCAATGGGTGGATGAACTGTTGACTCCCAGATTTTATCTTCCCTCTCTATGCACCTTCTCCTCTGAGCATGAAGACCTAGCGCCACTACCTTGAGGGTTCCTTACAGGCTACTTATCTAGAGCCCCACGAGGGTGAGCCCCAGGAGGGTAGGCCCCCACCTTTTCCCCATCACAGGGAACTCTAGTCCGTGACATCTAGTGAAATTAAGCAATGCAACATGGATAAACACTCATTCATTCACTTATTCATTCTTTTGACAAATATTTATTGAGCACCTCCTGTGAGCCAGGCACTGTGTTAGGCGTGGAGTGATAAACCAACTACTTATTAGTTTCAGGAACCTGAGCAGGATCAGCAAGAAAAATGCAGGCCTGCATTCCTCCACATTGGCATCTACACGTGTTTCGATTTGCACATTTATACAAATGGCCAGTCCCTCTTCCGCTTGTCCCATCCCACTCAGACCTCCGCCAACCCCACCCCAATGAGGGTACCTTCCTTGGGGTTGTGTGTCGCCCCTACCCCGGGTGGTACCACAGGGCAGTCTTCTTCCAGGTCTAAATGAGGCCTGTTCACTCATCACCCGCCATTTACTATTAACACATTACTGTCACGTGTGCAGTGGTGGGTGCTGCGCCGCTTTGCTTCCGTGGGGAATACCTTAGCACCAAGGCTGTGCCAGCGATAGTCTGCTTCCCTGATCAAAGCCCTGCAAACAATCAAACATGTACTTTCTGTTTCATCCCACAGATGCCAAATTATATTCAACTGATCTATCTCTTTTTACTTTCTAACCAAGGCTTGTTTCTCTTGGCTTAGACCTACTCATTTTTAAAACACTACAGAGAACCAACTTTTCTTGGTTCTGAACCAAGAACCAAGATGGAATAGATGCAACTTGTCCCTGTTCATGCTACTGAGTACAGCTAAAAATCTTGGACATTATATCTAAAACAAGCATAAGTAGACTCTGAAAGGTAGAGAGAGAAAGGAAGACTGGCTAGGGACCTCAGAAGCTAAGGGATGGCATAGTGGCAAGTTCCTTAAGTTTTCATTTTGGTTCATGTATCTCAGGCTGAATGCTGGAGAGGCCAGCAACATGGACATGCCACTGGGAGCAGATTAAAAAGCCCCAAGGAAATCTTGAAATCCCTGACCAAAGGACCAGGAACTGCAAGAACCTAGTACTCAGAAAACTTCTAGGTGGCAACCACCCCACTCCAGCCAAACACCAAGGGGAAAATGTGGCCCAATCCCCAACCCCTTCAGCAAAGACCAGGTGGAGAGTCTTGATCTCTACCCTCACCAGGCTACAGGGAGACACCTCTTCACCCCCTCAACCTCCACCAAAGTGGTATCAGAGACGACCCAATGGACACCCAGGACTTTCATGCCTGCCAGGTGGTGGCACCCCTCCCCCGCCCCATCGTGATGTCAGTGGAGGCCAGTTGAGGACTGTGGACTTCCACACCCTCCAGTGGTAAGGAGGCACCCTGCCCTCCCTGCTGGTGCGGTGTTCGAAGACACTGAGTGGCAGCCAAATTTTCACTACCATTCGGCACTTACAAAACCTTCTCCAGCATCAGTGAAGGCTATGTGGAGAGCAATAAGTAGGTCCCCCTCCCCGCCAGTGTCATGGCAATGAGGATCTAGTGGGGAGCCTGAAATCCCCCCTCTGCCCAATAGTAACCCACCACCCCTCTCCCCTGGGGTGTCAAAGGAGGATGAGGAGGGAACCTGAACTTTCATTCATCTGGCAGTAATGAGCAGTCATTCTCCTCCCCACCCCCCAACACAGTGTCAGATTTACATAAGATCCAGAATCTCATAACATAACACCCAAGATGTCCAAGATAGAATTGAAAATCATCCATCATACCAAGAAGTGGGAAAAGCTCAACTGGAATGAGCAAAGACTATCAACAAATGCCAGCACCGAGGAGACACAGATGTTGGAATTATCTGACAAATTTTAAAGCAGCCATCATAAAAATCCTCCAACGAGCAATTTCAAACACATTTGAAACAAATTTAAAAAATAGTAAGTCTCGAGAAGGAAATAGAAGATATGAAGAAGAGCCAAATGGAAATTTTTACAATTGAAAAATACAATAAACAAACATTTTAAAAAATACAATGGATGGGCTCAAGGGCCAAATGGAGAGTAAAGAGGAAATAAACAGTGGATATGAATACAGAACAATATAAATTGCCCAATCTGAACAAGAGGGAAGACAGACTGAAAAAACAATGTGAACCTTATGGATCTGTGGGACCAGAACAAAAGCTCTAACATTTGTGTAATCAGAATCCCAGGAAAGGAGAAAGAAGGTGAAGCTAAAGAAGTATCCAAAGAAATAACGACTGAAAATTTCCCAGATTTGGCCAAAGATGCAAACCTATAGATTGAAGAAGATGAGTGAAACTCAAATAGGACAAACCTAAAGAAATCAACATTAAGACACATCACAGTCAAACTTCAATACAGTAAAGACAATGAAACAGTATTGAGAACAGTGACAGACATGACACCTTATCTATGTGGGAAAACCCTTTGGATGGCAATGGTTTATCAGAAATCATGGAGCCTGGAAGAAAGTGGCACAATATTTTTCAAGTACCAAAGAAAAAGAACTGTCAACCCTGAATTCTATATCTGGTAAAATTATCCTTCAAGAATCAAGGAAAAGGGCGACTTCCGGGGCCCCCGCTCTTGGGGCCCCAGAACCTCGTCCATAAAAAAAAATAAAAAAAATAAAAAAATAAAAAAAAGAATCAAGGAAAAGTCAAGACATTATAAGGCAAAGGAAAAATAAGAGAATTTGTCACCAGCAGACCTATCCAAAAATAATGGCCAAAGGGAGTTCCTGAAGTAGTAAGGAAATGAAAAAACCCTGGAACATCAGGAAGGAAGAAAGAATAACAGAAAGACTAGAAATATGAATATATACAATAGACTTACCTTCTCTTCTAGGGTTTTCTAAGTTATATTTGCTAACTAAAGCAAAAATCATAACATTGTCTGAGGTGATTCTCAAGTTTCTTAATATATGTAGAAAAATACTTAAGACAATTATATTTTAAACCAGGAGGAAAAGGGACTTTAAAGAAGGTAAGTTGTCTACATTTCACTCAAACTGATAAAATGTCAACATCAGTAGACTGTGATAAATTCTGTATGTATAAGGTAGTGCCTGAAAAAAAGCACTAAAAAAGATCTATACAAAGAGATACATTCAAACACACTATAGCTAAATCAAAATAGAATTCTAATAAATGCTCAAATAACCCACAAGAAGGCAAGAAAAAGAAAATGGAAATGAAAGACCAAGGAAACACACAGAAAGAAAAATTAAAATGGCAGATTTAACTTTAACATATCAATTATATTAAATGTAAATGGTCTAAAAACATTAATTAAAAGACAGAGATTGGCAGAGTGGATTAAGGAAAAAAACATGATCTAACTATATACTCTCTACAAGAAATTTACTTAAAATATAGTGTTATAGATAAGATGAAAGAAAATAAAGGAAAAGGATATATCATGCAACCAATGATCAAAAGAAGGCAGGAGTAAAGTAGTAGCATAGCAGCTTCACTTGTAATAGCCAAATGTTTGTAAACTGCAAACAACCAAAGTGTCTTTCAATAGGCAAATGGTTAAACAAACTGTGGTACACCCATCCCATGAAATAACTACTCAGCGATAAAAAGGAACCAAATATCAATACATGCAACCACTTAGATGGACCTCAAGGACATTATAGGAGGAAAAACCCATGTCAAAAGTCACATACTTTATTATTTCACTTATATAATATTATCAAAGTGATAAGATTATAGAGCTGGCAAACAGGTTAGTGGTTGCCAAGGTTTGGGGATGGTGGGGAAGGGGATGTGGGTGGGGGGTGACTATGTAAGAAAGAGTCTGATAATAAACACCTGTTTTTGATGTTTGATAGCTGACAGCATTCAAGCCCAGCACTCCCACTTCCCCTTCCTCCCCACACCTAGACAAGATAATAAAACCCGGATGCTCCCTCCTTTGGCAGCAGCGGCAAGTTCAAACCACAAAGGCCATAGCCCATGTGCCAGAAACCCTCTCCTCAAACCCTAAGGTCTATAAAAAAATCTCCATAATACCCTTCAGATCCATCCACCTATAAACACTGCAAGCCAGTCTCCTTTTCCTGCTCTCTCAAGCCATTTTTGGACCTGTTTTGGGCTTCTTTGCTCTTTCTTGAAAGTCTTATTATGTAATAAACCTGTAATACCCTCCTCTGTGTGTGTGTGTATGTGTGTGTGTGTGATCATCAATCTCTATAAGGACACAGCATTATCTGCTCAACACTGTGCCTAGAACATAGTAGGGACTTAACCTGAGAGTGGAAAGTGAGGTTAGACAGGGAGAAAACAGGAGCTCCACAGAAAGGGCATGTGCACAGAGGGGTTGGGTGGACCCATGGGAGGGGGCCAAGGCTGAGGTTCCACAGGTCGCTGCCTTAAATCAGGGAGTCTACGCGGTGATGTTTATTCCCATGTAGCTCAGTTTGGTTCCACTTCAAATGTCTCCCATGCCAGCTCTGTGGGATAAAAGACGTGTCTCTACCTTAGGCACTTCCAAAACAAATGCTGGAGAATGAATGAACCCACGATTCTCCCCTTTGAGCTTCCCCAGACCTCCTCTAAAAATAGCCAACACAGGAATTGTTATTCCAACTTAGAGGCACCAGTGGTGCCCCGCCAGAAGGAGGGAAGCTAAGGATGAGAAGGGGGCTGGGAATGGGATGGGAGCGGGGTACAGTGTCTCTGCAGTGGACCCTTTGGACTTGATCCTCAGGCAGGAGACCCTGCCAGGCCCTGGGAGTCCAGAGTGATGATGGTGTGTGCCCAGGGGGAGCAGCTAGGGAGGGCCCAGGGCCCCAGTGTCTGAGCCCACCAAGCTTCATCCAGCTTTCTGGTAACTCTGTGTATGTTTCATGCTGTTTCCTTAGATTTTGAGTAAAACTCTTAGCCAGGCGCAGTGGCTCATGCCTGTATTCTTAGCACTCTGGGAGGCTGAGGTGGGAGGACTGCTTGAGCTCAGGAGTTTGAGACCAACCTGAGCGAGAGTGAAACCTCATTTCTACTAAAAATAGAAAAATTAGCCGGGCATGGTGGTGCACACCTGTAGTCCTAGCTATTGGGGAGGCTGAGGTGGGAGGATCACTTAAGCCCAGGAGTTTGAGGTTGCTGTGAGCTAGGCTGATGCCATGGTATTCTAGCCCAGGCAACAGAGTGAGACTCTGTCTCAAAAAAAAAAAAAAAAAAAGGAAATTGAGGAAAAACTCTCAGTGGAATGCTGTGTTCTCCGCTGGGCCCACAGGACTCAGGAAAGAGCTGAATTCATACTTTTCGGGAGTTTTAGCAGCAGGAAGTAAACCAAGAGAACCTTATAGGCATGTGTGTGTACTCAGGAGCCCTAGGCAGCTTGGTGTCACTAAAAGACCTGACCAAGGTTTGAACTGGGCTCCACTGCTTACCAGCTGTGGTATGATCTTCGCAACTTACTTCACTTCCATGGGCCTCAGTGTATCCATCTGTAAAATGGGGCCATCATAGCAGCCCATAGGGCAGATGTGAGGATTCTGCATGGGAAGGAAGCGGTGTTTGTTTATGCTTTTATTTTGGGGTAAGAATGAGAAGGAATTATGAAAGGAAAGAGCAGCCTAGTTTCTGGCATGTGGCTGGCACCTCCTGCATACAGAGTCTCCAGGGCAGGGGCAGGTATCTGGGAGAGAAGACAGAGAGACTCCAGAAGCGATGACGAAGATGATAATTGTGATGATGATGATGATGACGATGACAGTGGTGGTGGTGGTGACGGGGATGATGGGGAGGTTGGTGATGAAGGTGACAATGATGGGGATAAGAGGACAGAAGAAACCTTTCCTGAGCACCTACCTTACTGCAGGTTAGTCTGTGTTCTAGAAGTTTTTCACGCACTATCTTACTGAATACTCCTACCAGCCATATTGTTGGCCACCTTACAAGAGGAGAAGTTAAGCGACTTACCCAGGATCACATAGCTCAATTCCAGGTCTGTCCCACTGTGAGACACTGGCTGTCAGCCTTAGTGAGGGGGGCCATGGAGGGAGCTGTTCCAGAGCCCGAGCCGGGGCCTCCACCCAGGGAGAACGTTTTCTGACCTGCCCCCTGCTGCAGCTTCCTCATCCACACCTGGGAACACGAAAAAGGAGTGACATTAAGCCAGGGCAGGCACAGAAGGCTTCATGCACGATGTGACTTTGGGTTGGTTTCAAGGGATGTTTGAGGACAAGGTGAAAATCGGGGAGAGGAGGATAGCCCGTCCAGGGAATGGTGTGGCCAGACTAGAGGGTCCACGAAGAGGTGGGGGGAGGGGGGTTACAAAAGGACCCTGAATGCCAAGCTATGGCGTTTGTGCTTTCCCCAGGGGCAGTGGGGAGCCAGGGGAGGCTGTGGAGTTGGGAGGGAGACGCTCAGGCCTGTGTTTCCGGAGGCTGGCCCTGGGGCAGTGGCATAGACAATGGATGAGGCCTGGTGGGTGACAAGAATCTGGAGAGGGGCCCGGGAAGGGCTGGACCTCCTTTCCCTGGGAAGGGGCCAGAGAAGGTAGCTGAGAACACCCGGCTGTGTGTGTCTCTGACCCTCCACTCCAAAGCCCTTTCTCTGTTTGTCTTTCACTTGGGCCACCGGACACCCCTGGGTAGTGGCACCGGCTGCTGGGTAAGCACCTGAGCTCTGCAGACAGACCCAGGCTCTGCAACTTACCAGCTGGGCAACCCTGGACGTGCCATTGAACCTCTCTGAGCCTCCGTTTCCTCATCTGAAAAACGAATCACTGCAAAGTTGAATAAAATAACATACAAAAGGGGCTGGTCCAGGGCCAGCATAAAAATCAGTACCTGGTAAATGCTAATGGTTGTCCCCGTTTGATAAATGAAGAAACTGAGGCCCCGAAAGGCGCTGTGACAAAGTCATGCAGCCCCAAGAGCATCAGAGCCGGGAGCACAAGCTGGCGTCCCCACTCCCTGCCCTTCGCCCCCACGTTCCTCCGGTGAACCGCCCAGCCCCTCACGTCCCCACTCTGCACAGCGTGAGGGCCCTCCCGGTGGGTGCAGGGGCAGGGCAGGGGATGGGCGCTGCAGGGAGTGTCAGAGGGAGGGAGCACCGGCAGCCTCGGGGGACGGGGGGGGCTCTGTGCCTGGCCACACCCTTGAACCCCATTTCTCCTCTGCCATCATCTGGCCTCCACTCAGTGGGCACAGGAGGGGCCTCCTACTCCTCGTCCTCCCCCTCCTCCCCTGCCTTCTGATTGGGCAGATAAAACTTCTTCACCCCAGAGCTGAGTCCCCACAAACAGGACTTCCCTGGGGGCCAAAATGAAAAGTTAGTGCAAAAATCACTCTTGCTTGGGCCTCAGGAGCTCTGGGTTCGAGTCCCGGCTCTGCCACTATTCTCCTTCTCAGAACCTCAGCCTCCCCAACTCAGCGTCAGTGGGTCGGATTCGATGCTTTCTACAGACCCTCCCACCTACGTCCCGCGGCCCCTTCTGCCTTCTGCTGGGCCCTTGTCTCCTCTCACGGGCCTTTTCCGGGCCCTCCGTGGTTTTCCCTTCCCAAGCCACAGCCTCAGACCTGCCCGCTGCTCCCAGGAGCCTGCCCACTGTCCCTTTGCTCAGGCTGCCCGGGGCTCCCAGAACCGGTGGGACACAGACCCCAACCCAGCTCTGAGCAGGCCAGGCAGCCTCCCGACCCCAGCGACGCCCGGCCCCCCACTCGGGGTCAGTGGGGCCCAGGGGAAAACCCCTCGGCTCTGCCGGAGCCAACTGCAGAGGTGGCCAGAGCCGGGGTTTAAAAATACGAGCGCCCATGTACCCTCAGCGCCAGCTGCCCACACAGCCTGCAGGCTGCGCTGCCCACTTCACAGATGCCATCGTGGCCACCGTGGGCGGCACAAAGGGAACGTGGTGGGGGGTGGTGAGTCCAGAGAGGCCCGGGGGTGGCTAGTGAGGGGGACGGACATTCCTCAGAGCCTGAACCACAGAACAGGGCTGTGTGCGCCATCTGGCCGTGCCCACTTCTTTGGTCTCCGGAGAGAACCGGCCAATTCTGTTCAGGCTCACGGTGGCACAGGACTGGAGTCTAACGAGCCTGGAATCAAACCCTGGGTTGGACACTTCCTGGCTGGGCGAGTTTAGGCAGGTCACCAGCCCTCTCTGAGCCCCAGCCACTATCTGTAAAATAGGGACACTAAACGTACCCACTTCATGGGGCTCTTATGAGAATTTGATAGGATGATACCTGCAGAGGGCTTGGCACAGGGCCTGAGAACGTGCTGGATCAGTGGTGCCTGTCTTTGTTGTCACTGCTGTTACGATGTGTGGCAGGCTCTGCTAGAACCCGAGCAGGAAGGGAAAGAGAGAGCAAGGGACGACGCCCTCGCTCCACTCTGTCGCCACCTCCAGACCCCCAAAGTCCAGGCACATCTTGCGCCAATGCCGCTGACAAAGGAGCCCGTCCTCCCTGCTAGACTCACAGGCAAACCAGGGTCCGGAGAGGGCGTGTGCCCTGCTCCAGCGAGCAGGAACAGAGTAAGAGTCAGAACCTGGAAGTTGGGATCTCCCTCTGCAGGGTGAGAGAAACACGGCAGCCCTGGAACTGAGAGGGCCCCTAGCGTGTACCCAGGCCACCGCCCTCCATTTTCCAGAAAGGGAAACTGAGGCCCAGGGAGAGGAAGGGATTCACCCAAGGCATACGAGAGCTAGGACCCAGGCCAGGGCTCCCGTCCTCCCGGCCAATGCCCCTGTTGCAGACCACCGCCTCGCCCTGCTGACTCCTGCCCCCACTGGCCGCAGTTCTCATTCCCACGTGGGCAGCTGAGCAGTGCCGGAGAAAGAAGGAACCTGGCTGGGGGCTTCTGCTGAGGCCTGGGAGCTGCCTGCTCCCCCAATCCCACCAAGCCTGCTCCATCCTTACGTAACCACCCCCGATTACATAACCTGCTGCTGCCTCCTTCTGGAGTGGGAGCTCCGGGAGCGGATTCGCGCGTAGGGAGACCAGGAGCTGCCTCCATATGAAAACGGGGTCATTACCGGCACTCGGCTCCAGTGCCAGCTAATGGCCTTCCCACATGGCCTGGGGCCTGCCAGCCTCCCCCCAGCCCAAGTAGGACTGGAGCTCCCTACCAGGGCAGGGCACAGAGGGATGTCACCAGCTGGGGCAGGCCCCAGACCTCAAAGTCCTAGGCAAGTTTATCAGCCCTAAAGGATTTCCTGGGCAGAGACCTGCAGGTGGACAGGCACGCTGGGGGGCCACAGGCTCAGGTATCTCACAGTTGAGTCGGAGCTGGCGTGTCCTGGTCACTAGCCAGGAAACCACAGACACATCAGTTCACTTCTTTGTGTCTTCGTTTCCTTATCCAGAGAATGGGACTATCAGGACTGACCTCTTTGGTTGCCGTGAATATGAAATGAAATCCTGACTGACAGGTGCCTGGCCCCAAATAAGTGCTTAGTAGACAGCGTCCCCATTTGGCAGATGAAAAAACTGAGGCGCGAGCAGGTGATGTGGCTTTAGGGGAACATAAAACGGCAAACCCGCCATGAGCTGGGCATATGCTCTGCGCACATTGACTAAGCTACTCCCCAAGACAGCCCTAAAGCATGGGCGCTACTATTACCCCTGTTCCACAGTCGATGAGCCCAGGCTTAAAGGGCTTAAGTGGCTTCCTTAAGGTACACACTTGAGAAGCGGCACAGGCAGGATTGGAACCCAGGCATCTGGCTTCAGAGTCATCAGCCCCACAAAACGATCAGGATCAACAGGCTGAAACGATCAGGATCAACAGACTGAGGCTGCAGCAAGCAGGAGTTAAGGTAGACAGAGTCAGGAAAGTTGCCCTACAGCTTGTCTCCATCCTCTAGACACACAGTCACCCTCCGCCTTTCCTCCCTCTGGCTGCTGTTGTGCTGTGTGACCTTGGCTGAGCCAGTTAACCTCTCTGGGCTCCCATCTCTCCATCTGAAACAGAGAGCCTGGTCCCTGGGCTAACAATTACCAGGGTTATTGTGAGGACACATTAAGATAACGAGTTGGAAACCGCTTTTCGGTGGAGAAAGTATCCCAGAGCTGCGATGGCTCATCACTTCCCTGGCCTCGGACTCCCTCCGACTCAGCAGGAACCAGCTAATGGACACCAGGGCCCTCTCAGTGCCTCTGGCTGTCCAAACAAACACCGCTCCCCTCCGCTGCCCCTGCTCTGGGCTGCCCTTTGGATATAGAGGCAAAGCTCCAGGCCTTCTCTCTGGCGCTGGGGTGGAAGGGACATTCGTTTCAGCTGAGCCTCTACTGTGTGTTCCGTGGGCACCCTCACACTGAACCCTCATAATTCCCTCCGTGAAGCTGGGATTCATCTCCCCCATTTTGCAGATGAGGAAACTAAAGCTCAGAGAGGTGAAGTCGCTAGCCTGGAATCACACAGCTGTCAACCCAGTGGAGTCAGAATTCAAACCAGGGCTCCATGCTCTTAACTGCCCTGCTAACTGACTTCTCCATGAAATGGGTCTTGTGCCCATTTTGCAGAGGGAGAGACTGATGCTCAGGAAGTTGAAGCCACTTGTCCCAAGGCCAGGAAGAGGAAGAGGATACACAGATGACAGCTGTGACATTCAGCCCTCAGGAGAAGCCAGGCTAGTGGTAACCACGATAGCTGATGGAAAAGCTGAAGTCGCACAGGCCGATAAGTTTGCCCAAGTCACAGGTCAAAGACTGCCAGAGTTCAAACCAGGCCCAGCCATGCTCCCTCTCTGGACCTCAGTCTTCCCAGGTACAAGAAGTGCCAGGCCCTGGGCTGGCCAAGGAGACCCATTAAATCCCCTTCCCAGATCTAAGAGGTTGTGGCGTGGGCAGAAATCCCCAAACCTGGCCGATCACCAAAATCCCCTAGGAGCTTGTTGAAACCCCAAATGCTGGGCTGCGCCCCTGGAGAGTCCAATTTGGTAGAATGAGGGAGGGGCCTGGAAACCTGTATTCTCTTCTCACCTCCTCACACTCCCCTACCCCATGCTTCTGTGATCAACCAAGTCCAAGATTCCCAATCTAGGACAATTCCCAGTACCAGAAGGTACTGGAACCCAGTGCCCTGCCTGCCTTCACGGAGTTCACAGCTAGGGTGGGAAGTGGTCCCCAGGCACCTGTGGGGGTTGGGGTGGGTCGCAGATGGCGTCAAGGGGTCTCTGATGCAGATCACAGCTCTGCTAGAATTTTCGATGGTGAGTTAGGGTGAGACTTCGAGATGTCCCCACCTTCTTCCTGGACCAATTCTTCATTTAGCAAATATTTCTCAGCGCCTACTATGTGTCAGCACTGTTTTAGGTGCTGGGGCGCAGCAGTGACTAAGACAATGTCCTTGCTCTTGTGTTGCTCCTGTGCTGGTGCAGAAAATATTAACAGTCATAAAACAGCCAGGACTGGCATAGCCCTCTGCAGCTCCTAACAGCCTCCCCCATGGACAATCCCTTTAAAGCTGACCCTGACTGTGAGCTGGGAGCTTAGCCCCCATTTCACGGATGAGTCACTGAGGCTCAGAAAGCCATTTCAACAGCCCGTCTCCCCGACACCGCCAATGCTTCCCAACCAACCCTGTGTGTCTGCTGCTGCTTAGAACTTTCCCTGTTGCCACGGCAACCCCCCTGGGGAGGCCTGCCCTACTTTGCATCCCTGGCATAGGGCGGGCAGCCTCACCCCACCCCCTTGAGACACAGAGATGGGATTTATCCCACTCATTGCAAGAACAGGTCCCACTGGAAAAAGAACTGGGCTCCTTCATTCAGATATTCAATCAATGTTTAGCAGTGCCAACAATGTGCCAGGCACTGAGCCAGTCCTTGGGACGGAAGGAGAAATAAGTCATGGTCCCTGCCCTTACAAAGCACATTGACTCGCAGCGGAAGCTGACAAACAAAAGCATGCCAGTGAGGGCTAGAACAACGTCAACGACGACAGTGGCCAAGTGCTAGGTGCAGTTCTAGGCCTTTTCCGGGTATTAACTCGTGTAATTCTCCCATTAACTCCTGGGGTAGGTATCAATATTATCCCGATTTTACAGATGAAGCTGAGGCTCAGAGAAGTTAAGAAACTTGCCCAAGGTCACACAGCTGAGAAGCAATAGAGACAGACGCTGGACCTGGGAGATCGTCAGACACACTGTGGGTGCTCAGCGAAGAGACCCCTAACTCTATCTGGGTGGTCTGGGAGGGTTTCCCGGGGAACGTATATGTCTGTCCTCAAAGCTGATCTCAACAAGAGGAGATGAGGGTAGGAACAGGAGGATGGTGGACCCAGGGCTCTCAGAGCTGCCTGATTGCCCAGCGTTGGGGTGACTGGCCTGGTTTTCTGGGACTCACCTAGGCCTTGGGACACCTGACTTGAGAAAAAAATGCAACCCAAGGTGGCCAGTGCTGGAGAGGGGCATGGCAGCCACAAGGTACAGGCTGCCCCAAAAGCCTAAATGCCCCCAGAGACTCCCAAGGGAGCAGCTTGGGGTAGGTGGGCACACACACAACCACCTGCCCTCTTCACACGTATAAGCAAAATTGCCATATCTTTACACACCTGTGAAGAGGAAGGACCCATGCTAGGATCTGGCTTAATCCTGGGAGTATACCTACATAGACTTTTATTTCCAAGTTAACACAGCGGTTGAGAGTGGACTGGAGCCAACTGCCTCTCTGCTTCCCCGCTATGGGAACTTGGGCAAGTTATGTAACCTCCCTGAGCCTCAGTGTCCACGTCCTTGGAAATGGAGACAACATTTATAGAGTCCTGTGCATATCACAGTGCTATCACACAGCCTCGTGAGTCAATCCCCCCCAAGTTCGCAGTCCCTGGCGCACGGGGTGCGTAACCGCCAGCCATACTTACTTTGTGGCACATGGACACACAGGGGTCTATATTTTTACCTGGATTGGTGCATGCAGTATACAAGCCCGTGCACACAGCGAGCGCACGCCCAGGACAGACCCCCATCTCTGGGCCAGTATATGTGTAAATCTACCTCCTAGACTTCGCTTGAGTGGTCACCTGTAGCTACAAAGGTAGTGGGAGGTGCCTCTAAGCAGCAAGGCTCAGGGGTACGGATGCTGGGCCGGTGGCTGCAGAAAGGGGGAAGGCGCATGCGCGCCACCCCCACGTGACTATGCGCCTTCGAGCGCCACACCTGGACCTGCATCTGGGGTGCGCATGCGCAGATGCGTGGTTTGCGGCTGACACATGCTACAGGCGTGCCGTTTTACTTTGAGATATGGGTGTGGCTGCGTTTTGCTCCTTGAACCACTGTGATGTAAAAAAATCTCAACTCTGGAAAACAAAGATCTATCAGCAGTAAAAACATAAAAAGGGTGCGTAAGGCTTACACCTCCTACCACAGGCCCCCAGGGAGAGCTGAAGCCACAGTTCAGGAAAGAGAAACATGATTAAGAGTAAACTCAGGAGCCCACAGAGGGGGAGTCGAGCCAGCGCAGGGCTTTCCTGTTTTCCCGGAAAGGAGGCTGTCCCTGAGGAAGCCAGGTCCCCTTGGAAAATACTCAAAAGCCTGTCTGGGCCCCAACCGCCCCCAGCCAACTGAGAAAATGAGTCTTCCTGGGAGAAAAACAAACCCTGCCTGTCCCCACCACCCCCTTGGATCTTCCCTGCAGGGAAGAGACTAGAAAGAAAAGGCTGCTTGGGGTCTTGGGCTGAAGGAAGACTTCCCTCTGCCCCTTCCCCGCCCCCCAGGAGGACATCTGCACCTTAAACTATAAGCAATTGTGCAACACCATGTGCCCAGATGACAAGGAGGGAACGGATCCTGAAATGAGGAAGACTCCTCCTGCTCATTCAATACTTTAGGGTTTTCGCAGGCATCTCCACGGAATCCTCCCCGCATGCCTCTGTGGGTCAGCTCAGCTCAATTCCTTACTTGAGATCAAATAGCCTTTCATCGGTAAAGCTAAGACTCACTGTACCCCTTGTCCAGCTCCCCTTTGTCTGACTCTACCTCCTGTGGCATTTTCTTCACATCTCAGCGTGGCCCAGAGAAGAATGTGCCACCCCAAAATACGGAGGCTTGTTGAGCCAAAGGCAGTTAGGAAGCAGCAGACACAGGAAAGCTCTCAGCCCTCCCTCTTGCCTGAAAGCAGAACATAGATTTGCAAAGACTGAAGATATCCTGTCCCCTTCTATGAGGGAGGACACAGGTTAACCTCTGGAGACAACGTTAGGCCCTGTCATCTGGAGGTGGCACCAGAGGAACAGACATTATCAGCAAGCTTCACAAACTGGCCTTTGTCTGCCGGTTACTGTCTTCCCCCAAGTTGCCACCCCTAGAGACGCAAGGTTCTTTTCTTTTGTCTTGTCACTTCTCCAGAAATTGACTGTTCTTTGTTGAAGATGCTATACAAGCTGGAATTCAAAGCCACCTCTTTGAGAACTACTCATGCCCTGGGTGCCTCCTATGTATACATGAAATATATATGTTAATAAATTTCTGTTTGTTTTTCTTTTGTTAATCTGTCTTTTATATAATAACAGGGGTCTTTTCCAACTGAGAACCTACAGGGGTTGAAGAAAAACCCCTGCAAAACATATCCCCAGCGAGGCTAGATTATGAAATAGCATGGCGCCTGCTCTCAGGGAGAGACTGGGCCAAAACCAAACGGCCAGAAACAGGGGCTGGTTTG